TTATCATTTAAAATACCTAGATATGTTTTAAAATGCAATTTAAAGCATTTTTGGTTTCAATCATAGTAGGCTATTTTCAAAAAAATATCGATTTTATATCTATAAAGCATTCTTTATCATTTAAAATACCTAGATATGTTTTAAAATGCAATTTAAAGCATTTTTGGTTTCAATCATAGTAGGCTATTTTCAAAAAAATATCGATTTTATATCTATAAAGCATTCTTTATCATTTAAAATACCTAGATATGTTTTAAAATGCAATTTAAAGCATTTTTGGTTTCAATCATAGTAGGCTATTTTCTAAAAAATATCGATTTTATATCGATAAAAGCATTCTTTATCATTTAAAATACCTAGATATGTTTTAAAAATGCAATTTAAAGCATTTTTGGTTTCAATCATAGTAGGCTATTTTCAAAAAAATATCGATTTTATATCGATAAAAGCATTCTTTATCATTTAAAATACCTAGATATGTTTTAAAATGCAATTTAAAGCATTTTTGGTTTCAATCATAGTAGGCTATTTTCAAAAAAATATCGATTTTATATCTATAAAGCATTCTTTATCATTTAAAATACCTAGATATGTTTTAAAATGTAATTTAAAGCATTTTTGGCTTCAATCATAGTAGGCTATTTTCAAAAAAATATCGATTTTATATCTATAAAAGCATTCTTCATCATTTTTAATACCTAGATATGTTTTAAAAGGCAATTTAAAGCATTTTTGGTTTCAATCATAGTAGGCTATTTTCAAAAAAATATCGATTTTATATATATAAAAGCATTTATTATCATTTAAAATACCTAGATATGTTTTAAAATGCAATTTAAAGCATTTTTGGTTTCAATCATAGTAGGCTATTTTCAAAAAAATATCGATTTTATATCTATAGAAGCATTCTTTATCATTTAAAATACCTAGATATGTTTTAAAATGCAATTTAAAGCATTTTTGGTTTCAATCATAGCAGGCTATTTTCAAAAAAATATCGATTTTATATCTATAAAAGCATTCTTCATCATTTTTAATACCTAGATATGTTTTAAAAGGCAATTTAAAGCATTTTTGGTTTCAATCATAGTAGGCTATTTTCAAAAAAATATCGATTTTATATATAAAAGCATTTATTATCATTTAAAATACCTAGATATGTTTTAAAATGCAATTTAAAGCATTTTTGGTTTCAATCATAGTAGGCTATTTTCAAAAAAATATCGATTTTATATCTATAAAAGCATTCTTTATCATTTAAAATACCTAGATATGTTTTAAAATGCAATTTAAAGCATTTTTGGTTTCAATCATAGCAGGCTATTTTCAAAAAAATATCGATTTTATATCGATAAAAGCATTCTTTATCATTTAAAATACCTAGATATGTTTTAAAATGCAATTTAAAACATTTTTGGTTTCAATCATAGTAGGCTATTTTCAAAAAAATATCGATTTTATATCTATAAAAGCATTCTTCATCATTTTTAATACCTAGATATGTTTTAAAAGGCAATTTAAAGCATTTTTGGTTTCAATCATAGTAGGCTATTTTCAAAAAAATATGGATTTTATGTCTATAAAGCATTCTTTATCATTTGAAATACCTAGATATGTTTTAAAATGCAATTTAAAGCATTTTTGGTTTCAATCATAGTAGGCTATTTTCAAAAAAATATCGATTTTATGTCTAAAAAGCATTCTTTATCATTTAAAATACCTAGATATGTTTTAAAATGCACTTTAAAGCATTTTTGGTTTCAATCATAGTAGGCTATTTTCAAAAAAATATCGATTTTATATCTATAAAGCATTCTTTATCATTTAAAATACCTAGATATGTTTTAAAATGCAATTTAAAGCATTTTTGGTTTCAATCATAGTAGGCTATTTTCAAAAAAATATCGATTTTATATCTATAAAAGCATTCTTCATCATTTTTAATACCTAGATATGTTTTAAAAGGCAATTTAAAGCATTTTTGGTTTCAATCATAGTAGGCTATTTTCAAAAAAATATCGATTTTATGTCTATAAAGCATTCTTTATCATTTGAAATACCTAGATATGTTTTAAAATGCAATTTAAAGCATTTTTGGTTTCAATCATAGTAGGCTATTTTCAAAAAAATATCGATTTTATGTCTAAAAAGCATTCTTTATCATTTAAAATACCTAGATATGTTTTAAAATGCACTTTAAAGCATTTTTGGTTTCAATCATAGTAGGCTATTTTCAAAAAAATATCGATTTTATATCTATAAAGCATTCTTTATCATTTAAAATACCTAGATATGTTTTAAAATGCAATTTAAAGCATTTTTGGTTTCAATCATAGTAGGCTATTTTCAAAAAAATATCGATTTTATATCTATAAAGCATTCTTTATCATTTAAAATACCTAGATATGTTTTAAAATGCAATTTAAAGCATTTTTGGTTTCAATCATAGTAGGCTATTTTCAAAAAAATATCGATTTTATATCTATAAAAGCATTCTTTATCATTTAAAATACCTAGATATGTTTTAAAATGCAATTTAAAGCATTTTTGGTTTCAATCATAGTAGGCTTTTTTCAAAAAAATATCGATTTTATATCTTTATTAGTATTCTTGTGACAGTTCAAACAATGGAAATTTTTTTCTATAGAATTTTTGTGAGAGGTCACAGTCGGAGGGGGGTCTTAAATTTAGGTTTTTTATGGACGTCATAAGTGAACGACCCCTAAGCTATTTTAAACTTTTGTACGAATCTATAGTGACAAATGTGTACATTTACTTTAAAAGAAAATTCAGTTGAAGTTGCACATTAATTACATCAAATAAAAAATAGAATGTTAATATGACAACTTTAATACGATTTTGAAGAGAATTGTGAGTACAAGCTATTTCTGTGACAAGACATTTTGTGAAAATGCAACAGAATATATTCAATAAGTCAACTTTTCGTGAAATTTCTCATTTTTTAAAATGAATTGTGGAAATTAATTTTCATCCTTTTCAATGTGGAAAATGATGAAAAAGTTATGAGGAAGGAAATCAAAAAATGACATGTTTTCACACAAATATTTTTGTTTTCTAAGATGGAAAATATCACACGTATTTCTGACATAACCTAAACATGTTTACGACATTATTATGAACACATCGCCTACACATTAAAAGCAAAAATTTTCCACAGTTAATTTATAGAGAACGAAGCTGAAAAATAACGTTTAATAAGAAAAAAGAACTTCCTTAATGGTGTATAAAGAAAAACATTCATTAAAATAGAAAATCTTTCGTTGTTCGTTTCCTCGTTTTTCGATCTACTCAAATTTGAATTTCCGCTAGTATTGTTGTGCCTTAAAGCTTCCGGAAACTAACATAAAAAGGTTAAAAAATTATTTCACAATATCCGTTCTGATTTTTCTTCACAATATTCTGTAAACGTTTCGAAAATAGGAAGAAGAAAAACCTCCAATTTCCTGAAAGTGTCAAAAGGCAATTGAAAAGGAGTTGATGCGAAGGAAAAAGCTCTCTCAGCCATTACTTTTCTATGGTAATCTTAAAGGTACGTTTTTCTCAAAACATTTCCATTTCTGCTTCCGATGCCTTCTGTTATCCTTAATAGTTTCAAAAATAATGTAAAGAAGCATGTGCCTGCTACAGAAAGTGTCTATAAATCTCCAATTGCTATGAACTCGTAAATTGTTTCCTTTCTTTTCATTTTTTATTTGGTGGTCTTGTGATAATAGAAATGAATGAATCTGAAATCGGATTGACAAAAAGGAAAGAAAGAAAAATATATAAAAATATGGAACTGAATGAGAAATGGAAAGAAATTATCGAACATTTTTCTTCTAGATTTTCTTTTCTTCTTCTTTATTATCATTTTTATTTTTTTTTCATCGTGTTTTTCTTAATTTTTTCACGTTTTTATAAAATTACAATTGTTTGAAAATGTTTAAATCTTAAAGTGCTAAGAATGAGAATCTAATTACAAAAAACGAGGAGCATTAAATCCATTTCATTTTACCGTTTACATGGAATTTCGTATGTTAGTACTATTATATGTAATATACCACCCCTCTTAAATGAAATAAGAATAAAATGGATCGTCGTACCACCCTCTCATATTGCTCTAGAGACATCATTATCATCATTGTTTTCATTAGAGAACAACGAATGATATCAACAGAAAGGAATCTCCTTTATCACTTTTGTGATGCAATTTCGGAAAGGTTCAATTAGATAAATGAGAGTGTGCAAAATTTATGAAATGAAAATTTATCAAGTCCATTTATGCTGATTTTTACACAATGTTATCAAGTTTCTATGGTTAACTCTGTTTTATGGAATTCAATCGAAATTATAATAAATGCATCAACTGTTAAACTTAACGTATCGATTTGACAACATAACATCCATCCAAAAAATTGAATTTATTTGTCATGGAAATTAAATATTCTTCTCCTTTATAAATGATTTATTTTTTGCTTCAAAAATATTCCAGATATTTTTATTCTTTCGGCTTATTTTTGCGTTGTGCTTGATTTAACTTAAAAAATATTTTCTATTTCTGAAAATTTTGATGTAAGCCATGTTAATATTTTCCCTTGTAATTACAGATAAATAATAATTAAACTTATTTAATTATTCTGAATCTTTTTAATGATATTGAGGATTATTAATGATTCTTTTTTGGTTTAATTTTTCTTCATCTTTTTAATAAAAAAATTAAATTAGATTTTTAATCATAATTACATTATCAACATAGTGAATCAGTTCAATTCGAATGAAATTTCAATTCCTTTTATAATGGATTAAAAATATTTCTTTAACAATTGCTTTGAAATAAGTAAAGTAACTTTACACATACATTTAATGGTTTAACAGTTGTAGTTAATCTGCTTTATACTATTTAATTTCATTATAATTACGACTTACAGTGATTCTAATCCTTATACTATTTAATGTTGATATATTTCCATAAAAAAATGCAGCAAATGGAAAAAGGTGAATTCTCTTTTCAATATAATTATCCGTTTCCATTGCTGCTATTATTCAGTCAAAGAAGGGAAATTTTCATCTTATCATCTACAGTTTTATTCTATAAATGTTTTCATTTCTATCCGATTTACTTTCATCTCTTTTCTTCCCTTTACGTAAACGTTTCTCATTCATATTAGATGAAAACTAAAAACTTCTCATCCTTCATGAGAAGTTTTGAATGGTAAATTTACTGATTATCGTGATGAATACGGTCACCTCTTCATCATGAGGCATACTACCACGAAAACGTTTAGTATAATCAAAAATTTATCGCCATATGATGCTGTTCTCGTTCCTAACGATATAGAGCTCATTACATATTCCAGATCCTCCATACTGATTTCATAACTTCTCGTGTAAAATTGGTGTATGTCGCTCACCTGTTAAATGATGAAGAAAATTAAATTATCGGATTATGTCAATGGATGTTGAGTGGATATGGGTTTGCATATGAGTAACTGTGTGATATTTTGCTGATACATATACATATATGCTTATTTGACTGAAAAAATTTCGCATTCAATTTAACAATTTTTCATCAAATGAGAGAGGTGAAATGACATTTATGTTGATGAGATGAAAATAACTTTTGACAAATGATGATGAAAATCGCTTCACTAATTGACCCAAAAAAATTGCGGTTTTGAAATATTGTAACCACATTTTTAATATTTTTAAGAATAGCAACTTGAAGAATTAAATCGTGTAGGCATTCAGACTAATTATAGAAATGTAAAATTAATTTAAAAATATTAAATTCAACGATTTTTAATGCCAAAAAATTGAAAACTCAAACTATGCACTCATGTGAGCAACTAAGCATATAAAGAAACTCTGCTCTGAAATCCATGGCGTTAAAGCTACAAATTTTATTTATAATTGAATATACAATACAAAACAGTATCAATGATAAAATCAGTTTCGGACTAACCAATTTTGAGAAATTTATTCAGAATTATTTTATTAACTTTCCGTTCTATCAAAAAGTTTTGTATTTTTTAGGTAAGTCCATTTTTATTGCAAGCGGAGGAAAGTTTTAAAAATTTATTCAGCTAGCCACAGCACGTAAGCTATCTTTAATGCATCGCAAAAGCTTTTATGCTAAATTAGTTTGCTGAAAAAAGAGAGATGAAGCAACATAAACACATACATGACCATCAACAAACTTATCATATATAAAATAGGAATGATCCGAAAATGTAAAACAGGATAATTGAATAATTTTCCTAAACTTTCTTTCCATGGTTGTTATTGCCATTGCTTCCAAAAAGTTACACCACAGAACAACCACACTACATTCTGAAATAAATATTTTATATGATTCTCATGGATGTGATTATGCTATTTTTTCTATATTATTATCATTGCATTATTCCCATCGAGAAATGGTTTCAGACACATCATGAAAAATGAATGAAATTATCTCTCACAGGGTTAGAGCATAAGTGGGTGCGAGTGAGTAAAAAGAAGGAGAAAAACCAAAGAAAACAAAAATTTATTTTACCAAGTAATTGTTTGCAATAATATTTACGATGGAAAATAATGAAAATGCGATGAGAATGAGGAATGAGCGAGAGGGTATGAAAATTATTTTCGGGAGTAAAATGCAAAATGTGATATTTTTATTCTGCTGCCGATAAACTTTTTTTTTCCAAACGAGAACATGCATAATTTACATAGTAATGATATATTGCTCAATTTTGAAAATTTAATTAAGTTTATTGTTTGTAAATTTTCGTATAATTTATTGTTTTATGTAACGTCGCCTCCAAAAAATTTCTTCGTCTTTTTCTCCAAACTGATTTGTGCCATATATAAATGCTACAGCGCAATCAACTCGTTCACCTTCACTTTTTTTTTTCAAAATGTTATGCGAATATTCCACATATTAATGGAAAAATGACGGGAGTTTGGGAATATATTTTAATCAATAAGAAGGTTTTGACACAGGTGAAAACATTTATGGCTCCTAAAGCATTTTTATGACATTTTACCATTTTGAGCTTCTGCATTTCATGCTTGCTTCATTAATACAATTTCATCTTTTTTACCTCCCTACACATTTTCACACAGCTTTATTGTTAAAGGCGTAGCACATATATTGTCAAACATGATGTAAGAAAATCATGGGTGGAAATGAATCATTAAGGCTGTAAATTTTTGATTTTTTAAAAAAGTTCGGGGTACAGTGAATTTTACAGACTTTTTGATAAAAAAATATTAAATTTTGCGTCATTATTTCAAAATATTTTTCAAACTTCAGACAAAATATTAAACACAAATTTTCTAACTGAACAAAGTTGTTTCTTACCTCATTCCAACCGTATACATTTTTTGCTTGCACCATTACTTCATAAACGGAATTATGTTCTAATGCAATTATGATATATGACATGATGAACGTTTTTGAATCAAATCGCTGTACCGATGGATGTAGAATCTGATCATGCCATTTACCAGGATGTTGATATGTCTCATTCATCTATGTACGAAGAAATAAAAACATCAAGGATTAAGAAGGTATTAAAAATGAAGAAAAATGATTAGATTCTCAATTACCATTAATTTTCGATAGAGAAGTTTGATTTCCTCAAGGACGGGAATTGATTCAATCTTAAATGTAAGATTATAACGATCTAAATGGCCACTATATGTTGGCGATAGAAATTCAGCTGGTCCAGGTCGTCCTGACACTTCAATATATTTTTTCGTGCGTCCCAATGAATTATCGGCAACACAACTGGTTGAAATGAACAGACACAGCAACAAGGAGAACAAGGAAAAAAGATATAAATTAGCATGATTAATAGCCTCCAGTAAAGCGTTGTTAAAATGGCTCTGTTAAATTGTTGATTAATGGAATTGATGATAAAAAATTTCAGCATCACGCTTCAGGTCAATTTGATTAAATTATTCAAATTTTTAGAGACATTCGTAATTAAATCATTCAACAATTTGTAAATTCAATAGGAATTTTGCTTTTGTTTCTTCTAGATGCGCAGCATAACTTATTGAGTATGGAAAAGGTATAAAAATATTTTCACGTTCAACGTATAATTAAACAGAAAAAAACCTACTTGAAAATGGAAATTTACAAAAGTAAAAATCTGCGTCTGTGATGTGATATATTGGAAAGTAATTTGCAATTCAAAGGATATCCTTACCTATAGTTACCAAAATCACTCTGCTGAAAGCTCGTGATGTTCAAAATGTATTTATCTCCTTTCGAGTACATAGACCTTCTATCAGTCGGATCAAGTAGAAATGAATTTAAATACCACATCATCTGGAAAAAAAGAAGTTCAAAGAAATCAACATAAAATGTAAATGAATGTCAGATTCACTTTTTGCATGGAGATTTTACTTAAAACTTAGAGAATTTTTTAATTGGTGTATCAAGTTTGAATCATTAGCAAGTACAACGTGTTGAAAAAATAAATAAAATTCTTGAATTTATTTCTCAAAATATTATTTTCCAAAATTGTAATTTGATAAAATATTCATATTATCACTATGCCATCATTCTATAAAGCATGTAGGTGTATGAAAAATTAATTCATTACACACGTAATATTTTTTAATGAATTTATAAAAAAAATCTTACCTCTGAATTGATATCACCATGTAGTGTACACACTAATTGAATATCACATCCTTCTGCTGCGTGTATCCAAGTTTTTTCTGCAATTATTTCTGGTGGTGCTGTTATCGGCATAATAAAAAGTGAATGAAAAAAGAAATAAAAACCACGTAATTGAGAAAAAAAAAGTAAATCGTTAAATCGCGTTAAAATAAATTCATGTCTAACTTTTTAATCATTATAAAAGGAGATTATGTTCTTCTAGCATTGAATGAATATGATGTGTGGTAAAAGACAACCCTTCATTTCATAAAACGAATGAGACTTCCTTCGTAACAGTATAAAAATTTGCTTTTAAAATTATAATTAAGACACGAAAAAAAGAAACTTTTTTTCTTCCTTTACATATTCTTATATGTAGATGTGAAAACCACCAAAATAAAGAAGCTCAAGTGCTGATGATGTTGCTATAAAGGCATGAGCCTTATTTGGCATCGTCATATATTTCACAATTTTGCGGCAATTAAAATCTTATTACGCGCTTTAACTCATTAATTTTGTGTGTAAGACGAAGCGAAAAAAGTAATTTAAGCCTCTTCAACCACGTATACTCCATAAAGCTCTTAATTTTGCGCCGCTAATGATGTAAAAATCAACTTTTTTCCCTTCCATGTGAATAAGAGAGTATGAAAAGTATGATTGAGTAGGAAGAGGTTACAATGTTAAGCAATGTGCGGGCATAATGCTATTTGCTTAATCATTGTGATGATGAATCATCATTATTAATGCCTTGAAAAATATGAGAGGATTGGATATGCTTTTATCAAAATTATTTCAATAAGATATCAAATTTATCTGTCTAAAAATGGATCAGTAAGTAAAAGTAGACTAATAACGAATACTGATGATAGATTAAGTGACCAAAAATTTGCCAAAAACTAGTAATCCTACATAAATAATTTTTAAATAAAATTTGGTTTCAAAAATGTGGTTTCAGAAAATCAAGAAATTTTTTAATCTCTACGAGCCTTGCTTAGCATTACAGGTTTTGGGTTTAAAATTTGAAATTCGAAAAATACCGTAAAATTGAAAAATTTGGACAAGAACTATGGGTTTCCCCAAATCTTTTTAGGATTTATACTTGACACCCTTATTAGCGAGCAACCAGTTTGTGTTCAAAAATTCAATGAATTTAGAATGAGAAAAAAAACACAAATCTCATTATTAATGCATTTACTAAAATCAAAATTCAGTTCACAAAGATAGTACAGTAATTAAATTTTCTACGCTTTTATTCACATGCAAGCCCTGCTTTCTTTGACAAACTTTAATGAGGAACAGTGCAATTAGTTTTGAGAAAGTTGATATATTTATCATTTGCATCCACATCATTTAATTTTCTAGTTTATACATATAATTATGTAGATGCATAAAACATAATATATGCAATTAAACATATTAAGTATATTTAGAAAGGAAATAAAAATGTCAGCATAGTAGGAGAAGAAGATTGTTGTTGTTACTTAACAAACCAGAAATGTTTGCTTTAAGGAACTTTTTTCCATCCTCATTCCATATAATGCGAGCACATTTGAAGGAAGCTTACCATTCATGCATATTTCAAGAGGAAAAAAGTAAAAAGTTTGTCATATGATGTTAAGCATGTAAAAGTTAATGCTATGTCGTTTCGTGACATTCGCTGTAATGCACTTTTTATTGTCAACAATTTCTGCCGTTGTTTTTTTAAAGGTGGAAACAAACAGTGAATGTGAGGAGAAATAGTATGTGAATAAACATGAGAAAATCTCGACATTCAAACAAATCCTGATATTAGCGCATTTCATACGACAATTTCAACTTTATAAGCTTTAATTTAATCTTGAATTATTCTGAGTAAAATTCAAATTATTCCATTCAAATAATTATTAAAATGCTAATTTATTATAATTAAGAGTTGAATCTTCTTAACGCAGTTAAATTAATTAATTTGACTTGTACATTTAAGAAAAACCATCGTCCAGAGTAACTGGCAACAGGTTAAAAAACGCACAGTAGCTAGTAGCAATGATATGTATTAAGATCAAAGACAAAATGTCATTTGAAATGGTTACAATTTCATCACGAAAACAAGGAAAATAAAAATATTAAGTCTGAAATGGAGTGTGCCGTTTCCTTCATGTGCACATAACTTTTTATCGTTCAATCTATTTTCAAAAGGAAAAAAGAATGGAAATCAAGAAATAAATACAAGATTCCAAATGCAGTATATTACAATTGGTTTTTCGACTCCTTTTGACCCTTTAAATTTTTGGCTAGCTTAATCATTTTTAAAAATTATTCATGAGTCACTACATAACAAACCATCAAGTTCAAAAAATAATTCTTTCTATTTATAAAGTGAAAAAAAGCTGATGATGAAAATTTAAGGAGTATGAACAATCCAATTTATTTTTAAAACCTTTACTTTTGTAGCATTACTATCATATGCATAACAATGACCGAAACTTGAATTTACTTTCGTCATCGGAGGAACACACGTTCATATATACAATCTCTAACCCGGAATTCATTTTCTTTTTCCTTTCATTTCTTTTGTATTCTGTGATTCATATTTGAAGAAAAAACAACTTAGAGCACATAGGGTAAAAATGGAAATATAAATGTGTATGAATGTGCACGAATCGATTCGATATAACAAAAGCATAAAAAAGTACATTTACGTTTTTCTTTCCTTTATATTTTTATTAGTTTTTTCTATGGAATTTTAAAGACTTGGAGACATGAACGAATGGAAGTTAATATAAAGAGAGGTGGAAATGGATGGAGAATGAGATATGTAAATTACACCCATGGGCCTTTTTTTTGTACTTACACAAAACTGTTAGTTCAATATCCGAATAAGCTGGCTCCCGTACTGAATTATCAGCCATGCATTGATATATACCAGCATGATTTCGATCGACTCGTTCAAGTGTTAATGTTGAACCTTCACTTAGATGATATTGTGAATGTGAATTCTATAAAAGTTGAATGGAAACAATGTTATTCTCTCATATAAGTAAGTTCATATAAAAGCAATTTCACAATTTTTTTCTTCAGAAAGTGGATTGGGTACGCAACATTAAAGTTTATGAATAATAAAAAGTAAATGCATGCGAGTACGTTGCTGTCACGTTAAAATAAATGCAAAACTGCTAGCGTGTCATTTTTTATAATTCTTCTATTTTTCCATCCCCTTTCATCATACGATAATGGCAGACCATAAATCTTACCAAATATTACAAAAGGTCTATAATTTTCATGTCGCTAACATTGTTAATTTTAATGGCAAAAAATGAGGAAAATTGAATTTGAAATTTGAATTTTTTACCACCTTTGCATGCTTCATAAATATTTTCCTTCCCTTTTAACATTTATAATTGAATTTGGTCATATAAGATGTAACGATAAGATTAAAGGGGAACTATAAAGTGGTTTATGCAGTTCGCATGTTATTGATAAAAAAATGTATTAAAAAATATCCCTCACCTTTTTATAAAAATAAATATTTGGGACGGGATTGCCGCTTGCTTTACATTCTAATGTTACAGAACTGCCTTTGCGTGCAGTTATTTGTCCATTCTGTGGAACTGGACGTACTGAAGGCGGTACTAATATTTCAACGGTATGGACTTGATCTCTTGCTTCTTCACTATCACCTATTTGACAGACGTAGTCGCCTACATAAAGAACAAATATATTATTTAAGCTTTTAAATTAATTACATTAATTAAAAATAAATGTACCTGCGTCTTGAATTCTCATATTTGCAATTTGAAGATTGTAGCCATCAACTAATTTAAATCGTGTATCTCTTGTCACCATTAGATTTGCAGCTGTAAGAACAGACGTGCCCCTACGCCATAATAGTATATATGCGCCTGCAAGTTAAATTGGAAATGTAAATTCAATTTTTTTTTTCTCTGAATGCTTGTCTATATATTTGCTTTAAGGAGCGAAATAATCGCTAGCTACATTAAGATCGTATTTGTCTGTAATGTATCATGGTTACTGAAGAAATTTGACAAGGTATTTAAAATTAGTTAAGATGTTTAAATTGAAATTTAAATGAATAAACATCCCAAGATTAATTAATGACAATAAAGTATAATACATACTCTGCTTTAAAAGTCTTTAAATTGATGTTTAAAAAATTTTTAAATTACAATAAGCAAAGCTCGAAGTCGACGATACAAAATTGATGAAAATCTTGAGTCGACTTTGAGCTCTGACAATAAGTGAAATAAAAAATAAATTAGTCATTTATGCATAGATGATTAATGATACTAATAAATAAAATATAATTAATGTAAAGATAACAAATTAAATTTATTGCTTTCATTAAAAACAAAAGGATTTTATAAAATTCTTCAAAGAAAGTTCTGGATTTTTACGAGCAATATAATTTATGCTTCCTTTTTGATAATCATGCGTTTGTTATTTTAAAACATTTTTTTTCCATTGATTAAAGTTTCAAAAAATTACTATCGTTTATTTAAGGATTAATTTTTATTCTTGCCAATCAATTTTAACATTTTCTTAACAATGAAAAGTCAAAAATATCACATCTTACTGTCAATCTTATTTCAATAGAGCCAGAATAAATTAACTGCCAATTTATGTAAAGTTTTTAAGAAATCAACTAAAATAAATTTTTATTGCTAAGCATACACAAACTCAATTGAACATCAAATGTCAAGCTTCATGATTTACAGGCATTTCATTCGGAAAAAGCAATTAGGATGGCAATTTGTGATGTTTTTGTTGCCATCGCTATCGAAATGTTCCACTGATTGTCTTCTCTTTTTTCATTGCCAGTAATTTGCGTCATGGCTCACGAGAATTTTTCATCTTTTTTATTTCATTCCATAATACTCAATGTAGATGATTTTATATACTAAAAAGGTCATTGTGTTGTATTTCATTTTATTTCGAACGAGACAAATCTCTCAAAGGTTTCTCGTTCTATTTTCGAGTAAAACCAAAAATGTAACAGAACCAGCTCGGGACGATTAAAAAGCTTTCTCTTTGAAAATGCGATTAAAGGATTATGGATTCCCTACCAATAATAACGGGTTAACATTGTACGATTCAATAGATGCAAATTGGCAAGTGCACAAAGAGATAAGAGTAATTTTTATATAAAAATAATCCACAATAGATTCTGTCTCACCTAAATCCTTTACTTTGCATGGTAAAATGATTGTATCACCAATAACAGCCTTATATAAGTGTCCTTTTGTTATAAATTTGGGTGCCGGTGTGGGAATATCACTAGATGAATACATTCCACCATTATTGCTCTGACATAATCCTGTTATATTAATGAAAGAAACATACATTCATATAGCAATGTGTGGCTATTAGAGATAAAATTAAATTTTCAATCTATAAAATCGGATTAATAATTATCTATCGTGATTGTCGTTCACCAAAAAATTGTATTAAACTATAAAGTCACTTGATTTCCCCACAAATAAAAATGAGAAATATGAAATATGAATATGAATCAAATAAAGAAAACAATAGCTATGTATGTCCAAATTTTATTCGTACTATAATTATCAATAATTCTATTAATTTTCATTTTATTGCACAAATTTATTTATTTATTTTTTTTTTTTGCAATTTATTAGATCTAAATCAATTACAGTTTGCGTAAATTATTAACGCAAATCAATATTATTTCTGCGGTGTTTGTGGCACTATATTTGTGAATTTTGAACTGATTTATAATTCCTGAAAATAAATTTGATTTTTATAATTAAATGACTTATTCAAAATGTTTTTGTTAAACTTTTTATAATATTTGCAGTTTTTTTTTTTGATATTACTTAAAGCTTAATTTATCATTCCATCTCTTGCCAGTACATTAATATCTATGAAACTTTAAGGAAATTGTACAGATTGAAGCCGGAAATGTAAATAAATTTAAAAATCATCATCCAAGACTTTTCAATAAAGTTTCTTTCCGCAAGAATTTCATTTGAGTGACAAAACATTGAAATGCTTAGAATGAGTTTTATTATTTCAATTCTATAATCCGTCCATGTCATTCAAAATGCCAAAACTTTCTTGTACGGATAAAAAAATTGGCTCATTTTTCGTTGATCATTTTGTTTTCTTGCTTGGACCTCGGGCGCTCATGTACAGAACAAAAAAAAATTCAGATATCCATCTCATGAATGATAGCCTTTAGGCTATCTCTATTGTATGATGGAAGAAAATATCAAAAAAAAAAATAGCTTACAAAAAAAGGAACAAAAAAAGAGCTGAAAAAATTACATTTAGTTTTTCGCTTTTTTACAACATTGAAGCGTTAAGGTGGATATGAATGGTTCGCTTTAATGGACGTTGTGTATTTACATCATCATCACAATGAAAAAATTGCAATGAAAGAGAGGTGGAAGAGCTCGAAGTTATCAAAAACATTTCGCATAGTCACCGTAATTTCTTATTTTCTTTTGTTATATCCTTTTTTTCTTGGCATTTTTTGTTAGCCAGTAATTGCCTTCTTTTCTTATATTTCTTAATACTCTCTTGCCTTTGTTGTACTTTGAAGGACCGTATATACTATTCACAACAAATATTGCACACATACTGATGCTTAAATGATTTTTGATTGAAATTAAATTATACTCAAGAAATAATTATGTGCTTTGCTATTGCCTTCAATTGTTTGCTCTTCTGATACTGTAATTTTCCGAACTCGTAAATATCTTTCTATTCTTCCTTTATTATTATACCATTCAGTAAGAAAAGAGCAATTACAAAAGATTACCTTCTTCATGAATTTTTTGTTCTCTTTTATTCATCATATATAAAATACGTATGTATGTATGTCGGATAGAAGAACTTATTTATAGATACGAATGTGTTTATAAAAACTATCAAGAGACTTTCATTTTCTTTACTTTTTCTAAGCTTTCTTTCATGTTCTAGCATATAATAATTGTTTTTATATGACTTCCAATAATATATTATTTTCATTGATAATTTGAGAAAGCAGAATATTTAATGAAAAATCAATAAATTTATCTTACGAATAAAAAAAATGACAATATTGTGGGATATAAATTATACATTTGAAGACAGAATGTTATTTCATCTGACGATGAAGATACAATTTTAATGACTTCTTCATGCTGACGATTTTAAATATTAATGTTTCGATAGCAATTGAGTCATAGGATTAATAACTAACGTTCATTTATAGATTTTATGAAGGTTTGTGATTGATACTCAATATCAAATGCTTCATCTTTATCTAGTTTCAATATTGTCTGGTAACAGGTTCCAGAAACCAAAATTTGATATGAGAAACTAAGCCACATATAGTCGAATATTACAAGTTCGAAAGGTACTGGATATATATAATTTCTTTTTTGTCAGGACGTGGGATGGATCTCCATTAGAGACTGATCTCTCTCAATCATTATAAAAGAGTGTTGTCGATATGACAAGGATTCACTCAATGCTCACGACATTGCAGTTTGTACAAATCGAAATCTTCGGCATGGGTGAATTTTTGGAAGGGTGAGACTAAAACGAAATTTCAAAAGTAATTCCCATGAGAACAATAAAATCCATTCTTACATCACTTTGGAAATTTAATGAGCTTCTTATCATGGTTACTGGCAGAAAATTTAAATTTTTAACCAAGAAAGAATGAAGGAAGCGCAAGTAATGCTGAATAGAAAACTATTATAATTAAAATCCACAAAGAAGAAGTAAAAAAAAAGGCTCAAAGAGAAACTCAAAGTGCCAAAAAAGATAAAATGCAAATTGTATTGTATAAATAATTCTTTTCTTAGTATAGAAATATGCCACAGAATGCATTAAAAAGATAATTTTATTCTTCATGCCTCTTTCTTGTTCGTAACAATTAAAGATGCGGAAATTTAGAACAAAACTTTGTTCCACTCTGTCAGTTAATCAGTAAAAATATTTAAAATATATGTCTTATCAGCACAACTCATTTACATTTCTAATTTTTTAAAGGCAAATTTTTCTCTCTTCTTTACAGCTTTTGTACTTGATAGAGATGAAAAGAACTTGATTTTTATGTCCGATTTTTTGCCGCTACTCTCTTAAGGACGAGATTTTTTCAAAGACAATTAAAAGTTTCCTAATGCTTGCGATGGAGAGATATACGAACGAATAACGACCAGCAAGTAAAGTAAGATATAAAAAGAACTTGAAGAAATAAAAAATATCAAGTCCCGTACGATACAACAACAAAAATAAGAATAATGAAAGAAGAATTATATTATCAAATGAGAAATGTGCGTAAAGGCAAGTAGGGAGCATAGTAATAATAAGAATAAAAAAGATGAGGATAAGGCAGAAGTGCGTCAGATAAAAAATTAATTTTGAATTCTAACTTCAATGTCCCGCATCTACATACTTTGAAATATAAAATACGAAACGAAAAAATTCGATGCGCTCTACAAAAATTTTGCGGATTTCATTTCAAAATCTATTTTCTCAGGCATATCTTCTTCTCTATTTGTCCCCCATGCTTAAATCTTCTCTCTCACATCCTTCTTATATTTATATACATACCGTCTTTCTCTTCTTTAAAGAAATGCAGAGACAGGAGAAAATAAGAGAAACGAGAACAAATTATGGAATTTCCTCGGGTAACATAAAAAAAAATTATATACACAGAGTATAATGTAGAGGAGCGAACGCAATGAAAGCTTTATAAAAAGAAGAATTTAATGCTGCAAATTAATTTGAGAGCGCATTTGTACTCAGAGTTGTTAATTGTATGCGTTTTGGAATGTGTCATGTTGATATCGTTTATGACGATTTCGAGATCTATTTGCTGATTTTGGAAGTATAGGGTTTGAAAATCTCATTTCAAAAAGCAAATGAGTTATTAGTAAATTTAAAAAAAATTATTCGAAGATTACTCAAAAATTGTAATTATCAGAATTAAATACATAAAGATTCGATTCAAAATCTGATTGAGAATCAAATTATTTAAATATCAAAATCCTATTAATAAGTAAAATATTTTTCATCAAAATCAAATTAGATTGAGAGCTTTACACATTTAAATGTAGACAAAATGAGAATTATTTAATTCACATTAAGTGAAAATGCGAAGGAAATTTATGCTAAAAAAATGAACAGGAAAGGAAAGAAGACATAAAAATAAAATAAAAAACAATTCTGGAAAGATGAAAACAAAAAGATAAGCGCCAAGTATTAAATTAAAATACTTTTGTGTGTTATAGAATGACGCTCAAATTTGTATCTGGCGAATTTAATCACAGTGAATAAAATAAAGTGAAAGTTTTCCATTTTCTGATCGTTTTTTACGCTCTTTGCTCCCCTTTAATTTCGTTTCTGTACTTTAATACTGACTGAAGTTTTTATTATATTTTGAATAAAAGTGAAAAAAATTTGGACATAAATCATTGTGAGTTGCCTCACGCTTTTAGTTTTATTTTTCCTCTAAACACACAATACTCGTTGCTGCTGAGCCCATTTGTATAAGTGTAGAGAGTGAGAGAGCCTTTTAACCCGAAATGGCGCTTTTATGCAAATATAGATGAAATTTAAGGATTTATTCAAATACCGACCGTTCTTTTCTCTTCTTATTTCTTTCGGTGAACAAACAATCGTGAAAATGTATGTCTTATATATATTTGTGTAAGTATGAAAATGCTTAAGCAAATATATGCATGAAATAACTCACCATATTTCTCAATGCAGAGCAGTAGAAAAATAAAATAGTCGCGAAGAAAATTCATTTTCCAGTTGTCAAGTTTATTTGCTGAAAATAAAAATAAATTTTGTTAGTAGAGTAGACAAATTTTTATCATGATATAGCACATACTCCAAAGCTTTCAAAACTTTCTATTTAAGTAATATTTCAATACATAAGCACGCATCTTCTTCGTGTTATTTAATTTTAATTTTTCATCTCATCTTGCAATGATGATGATGAAGATGATTATAATAATAATAAGGACAATAATAATATTAATCTTAAAGCTTAGACAGAAAGATGAGAAATTAAGCAAATGAGTTTCAACGTCATGAACAGAAATTTGTTGATTATAATGGATGATGTGTCTGTTAAAATGTTAATAGCATTAGTGTGAAACGCAAAGTTAAGTTTTAAAGCAATAAGTACATCGCTAAATTCACAAGACTTAAAAGAGCAGGGAAGAGAAAGCAAGTAAAACTAATTAAAATTTTTGAAAATCTTTCCATTTGCTTTAAAAACATTTTCATAACAGTTGGATGAAAACAAAACTGTTGGATAAAAATTAAATGGTAAAAATATTTCCAGGAGCTTCTTATTACTGAATGCGGCCATGGAAAGTTTTTATTTGTCTAAGTAGTTCAATTAAGATTTAATGATTGTTTTACAATAATCATGTGTTTTTATTTTTTCAGCTAGTCACTAAATAACGAAGGTTGTGAATCTATTTTTGGAGATTAATTTTCATATAATTATTTAAATATATATATGCAAAAAAATTATCTATCCACCATCATTAGCACACAAAAAACTAATGCTAGTAAAAAAAATATATTCATTAACATTCTCATCAGCATATCTCATCGAATTCTAATTAGTTGAAATCATACAATAATGTTAAATTTCGATCTCTATAAAATATTCAAAGCATTGAAATGAAATTCCTTTTTTTTATCTCAGAGAATTTAAATTTTCTCTTTGACCTTTTTTCCATCAGCATCCTCATCATTATAAACATTTATAATCAGCAGCATCATTTATAATTATTATTGATAGAAATGAATGAGAAGAAAAAATCTTCGAACCAATTCGAAAGTCACAAATGATTTTCAATTTATAAATTATTGAAGTGCTCATTTCTGATGAATAATAATCGTATTCGTTTAAATGCAAAAAGAGAGCTCATTGAAAAGGCTTTTAATAACTGATGATGAACAACTCATCACCCTACAAAACTTCTTCCATTCCCTTTTTTCAATTAAACAAGAATTTTTTCTCTTCCTCTTCTCCTTATTCATCATAAAATGCCAATTAAAATTTTATTGAGATTTAAAACTTTTTTGAAAAGGATTTGGACTCTAAAAGCTATGCAAATTTCTTTCGAATGTAAAGATATTACAGCATGAGTTTCTATCATTGTAGGATATAACTTAAAAGAGTTTTAATCCGTTGCTTTTTGTGCAAATAAAATTCAATGAAATGGCATTTCATTATCATTTCATTGAGTTTTAATTTGATTTTCCGCTTTGCTAGGGGATTGAAGAAAACCTCTTTTATCTTCCTTTAATTTTAAATTTGTAAAAATAATTCAAGAATTGAAAATGCAATAAATAAATACCTAGTAGTATATAACAAAACTGAGCTGAAATCACTCGGTTGCAAAATGGTTTAGTACTACGCTACCTAATTATTCGAATTTCTTTTTTTCGAACCATACATATGTATAAATTGTAATTCTAGGTTTGAGTGCCGTGGTTAGCTGCGAAACGCACTAGCGCACCTCTGGATCAGAATTGATCTGAATAGGTAAAAGTTTTTTATATAAAATAAATAAGCTTTATTAAAATCTAGATCGTTGCAGGAACTAATATTGGAAACGTCTAATCAAAACATCGAGTATATTTCTTTTAAAAGAAGTAGATCCATTTGGATATCTGAGTTACAAGATTGCAAGAGAAAAACACAATTACATAGCCTAAACTTGTATTTTAAGAAGCAAAAATTCAAAAACCACATACATGCACACACGAGCATATTTCTATGCCGTAAGCTGTTTTTGAAATTTGAGCAAAAAAGCGTATTAAATAATCACAATTTTGATGTATACACAAGCTCATTCTGGAAATTATCTTTCATGTATAAAGGCACGAAAGCACAGAAAACGTATCACGTATAATACATTTTTATAAAATCCCCCTTCTGACTTACATCCTTCACGATGAATAAAAATTCTTTCTTTTAAAAAATCATCTTCCTTTTTTTAAGCAAATTTTTGTAGAATTAAGTTTGATGCTTTGTCATTTACTATTTAAGTAGATGATTTTAAAAATAAAAATCAATAAAAATATTTATTTGAAATAATGATTAATCCATTTTTATTAAAGCAAATTTGAAAGTATTTAAAATGACAAAACCATGGGTGGAAATGCGCTATGTTTACAATGCCTCCGTGACTTTAAGTCTTGATTATTTTTTTTTTTTTGGTTCTCCCAATTTATTCTTTTCATTCAGAAGGGAGGTTTAATGCTTGTTTAATTTTCATATACGACACTTTTTAAATGATTTTCTGCCATATCATAATATCATACTATATGAATAGGATATGAATAGACATGCGGCAGAAGGAAAAGGATGAAATTTCTTTTCTTTTTTTTCTGCATTTTTGCTCTGAAAAATATGCATGATGCGTAGACGATGAGAACAGATATATTTTCCTTTAAGCTCTTCTCATCACATAAATTTGTATGGTGCTCATACATTTGTAGCTTAGTGCCAAAGAGAAATTCCATAAATGAACTACTATCTTCCTATGATGTTGTTGCACAAATTTCAATTATTATTAGGTCGACAAATGAGAAGAAGATATGGTAAATATATATAATTTTCTGTGCTAGATATTTTGATAGAGAAATAATATCGATTGAGATGACGAAGTGCCTTGGAGAATTTATTCTCAATGGAACTTCTCATACTACTTCATATTCAATATCTATGTTTGATCATTTCATTGTGTAATGCAATTCTGATGATAATAATGATAATAGAAGAGATTATCTCAATCCATACAAACTAGGGCTTCTTTGAAATGAAATTCTGGGACTTAATACTTTGGTTTTTAATAATCCTGTGACCTTTAATGTTTTAACCTATGCTCAGCAGATTAATCTTAATTTACTAGTTTTGCTTAGCAAAGATCTGGGACAAGATGAAATTTTATGAATAGCTGGTAATAAGTCTAATTTCATATTTAGAATTCAACATATTCCCGTTGTTTTCTAAGTAAGTCAAACTGAGACAAGGAAGAGGAAAATTAATCTTCTCAAAATTTAGCATACAACTGCCACATCAATGTAATTTTTTCATAAACTCTTCATGTATCCACGTCATACTGTGAGACATTACATACAAAAAAAAATGAACGAGGAAGACGTAATCCGAAGTGGGAACATTTGGAATAAAATAGGACACAAGAAGATTATAATTCATGACGCTTTTATCCATTCATGATGAAGTGAAGAAAGAAAGAGAATAACTGACATGAATGCCAGAGAGAAATAAAATAAGAATAGAAGAATCAACTAAAATGATAAGCGGAGATTTCCTCTATATGTACATTCCAAAATGCTTAGACATTTTAACATTATGGATGTAAAAGTTTTTGGATAATTCATCATAGAACTATTCACACCTATTCGTCCTGATAACTTTGAAATTGTCTCGACTTCATATTGTAACAGTGCAGTAGTAACTCTTTCTCTCACTGTCACTGCCATCATCACAAACATAAGTTTAGATTTTAATTAATGTTAATCTATTTTCCCCAGGCAACCCCTTAATCTCATAATAAATTAAACAAAACATTTTCATCAACCTTTCTCTTCTCTCTTTTTTTACAGCCATTCCATTTGATGATAATGTTTAATACACGTACATGGATATCTATACAGTTTATACACATAACTTTAAAAGGAACATAAAGACGGTGAAGATGACTTTAGTTTGATAGTTTCTTTCTCACTATGTTTAGCTTTTTATCGTTTCCCATCTATTCATTCCACTCATTCCATCCTCTACATTTACGTATAATGGCTGCTACTTCGAACCTGGAAAGCAAAACCTTCAAACTTAACCTTTTTGCACACGTTCTGCATAAATTCTCGTCGCCTTTTACCCACCATATCAATTCTTTTCTTTTTTGCATTTATTTCTAAAACAATGGTGATGGAAATAAATTTTACTTCCTTATGAAATAAACGACAAAACTGTAAACAACTTAAAGCCGGATGTTTTTTTTGCATAAACATGTGACATACAATGAAAAGTAATGTCTGCTAGTTTCCAAAAAATGTATATGATAATTTAGAAACATTCAATAGCAAAATGAATGAGAAACTTGTTTGATTCAAAGAATTAACCTGTGTCTTTGGAACTGTGGGGAAGCAAAATGTGTAATCTTGAGTCAAGATGAGTTTTAAACTGGTTTAAAGTAATTAGACAATTATTCGGGTCCAATTTTCGTGGGGTGCTTAAAATCACTCATGTTTATGTTCAATTGTGTTTGTCTCAGTATCAAAGATTTTCTCCCCTAATGATTACTGGAAGAAAAAGGTCATCGTGTTATTAAAAGTTCAAATAGAATATGATGATAGCAATTTTATAGACGGATATTAAGGAAGAACTTTAATTGAGCAATAGGTCAATAGAAGTATAAAATATCTATGAGAAATGAACTGAAATGAGTCTGTTATTTTGTGCCATTCATACAGAAGATATTTTCATTAAACATTTTTGAGTAGGAGATAAAATAAAACATTTTTATCTCTAGTTTTTTTGAAAAACCACATTCACATTCATATTCTAGCATATCAAAAGAAGAAAACTAGATCTAGTTTTTCATAACAGAGAGTTTAATTTTGCATAATATTTGCATGAATTCTTAATAGGGTTGAATTCTAAAAGCATCTTTTTTGGGAAGAAGGAATGTTCATTATTAAAGTTTTGTTCTTTGAGGATCTCCTCATGAACTCGTGAACACAAAAAAGCTTGATGCATTCATGATTATTTTGC